AGAAAAAGGGATTTGTCATTCATTAGGGTCAAGAATTTGCTTATATTTCTACAGGCACAGAAACTCTGTGGGTACAATCCAGGAACGTGAAACTCCTAGATAAGCCGAAAAAACCCATACTTAGATGAAGATAGAATTGTGGAATGGATGAGTCTGATGACCTTAGAGAAACGACAAGAGAAGAGTGCTACCAGAGACCAGGAAAGCAGAGACTCTGAGTTGGGGCCAGATAAAGATGTTGATAGCGGAAGGGAAAAAGTGATTAAGAACACAGGGCAACAAATGTCCTCCAAGAATTTGTTTTTAGCTATGCTTGCTGTATTAACCTATGTTTTCTTAAAAGGAGTTACTAAATAGGAGGCAGATAATTTAACTTCGACTTGTAAAAAATGTTCTTTGGATACTTGTTTAAATTTTTCTGTTTCTCTACCACCTAATAAGAGTATATATGTGTATTTATTTTGCGATCTAGAATTGGGTTATGACTTCCTGTTAATTTGGGTGGCAAATGGCAATCACCTCCTGAGAGGATGCTTTTAGAGAATCTTGTGTATCAGTTATTAATACAAGCAAGAGGTTTATTAGAGCATTAATTGCTGCTGTTTTAGGGATCATAGCCAGAACGGCTACAGCAGCTACTGCTGGAGTTGCTCTGCATCAAAGTGTTCAAACAGTAGATTATTTCAAACAATGGCATAGTGATTCTCAGAAATTGTGATCATCTCAAAGACAAATAGATTCTGAAATCAATTCTCGATTAACTGATTTAGAACAGTCAGTAGTTATGATAAGCGATCATATCACTAATTTACACAGAAAATTGAAGCTAAAATGTGACTGGAATACTATTCACTTTTGTGTGACCCCTGTTGTAGGGAATAATACTTAATGACATTGAGATAAAGTTCGCAAACATATCATGAATCATGGTAATTTAACTGATAAGATATTAAAGTTACAAGCTCAAATTCATGATACTTTTAATGAACAATTGAGGAAATTTAGTTAATACTGATTTTCTGGAAGAAATTGCTGAAGGAATCTCTAGTCTTAATCCCTTTGATCACATTAAAATGCAAAGAAAAAAAAATAATAGAAAAAGGAAGAAAAGCTATGTTTACCTTAATAACTAAATGATGTGTATCTTATTAACCAAAGTGGGGAAATGTGGTTTCCCCAGCATAGTGACAGCAGGGCCAGCGGAGATCAGAGTCCAGACAGGACTGAGCACCCTCTGCAAACAGAATTCTGCGCAGTCCCCCGGAGGAGATACTGGATGCCCTCTGCAAACAGATTTCCACCCAGCCTGCCACCTGAGGGGACACTGTGTCTGAGCTTTGGTCTTAGTTTAAAGATTAAGCTTACATGCTCCAGGAATAGATGGTATACCAATTTACATATTTCAGCTAACTAATGCCACCCTGGATGTGCTCACCAAGTTGTGTCAAGAAATCTGGAGAACAACCACTTGGCCAACTGACTGGAAGAGATCTATATTTCTTCCCAATCCAAAGAACGGTGACCCAACAGAGTGTGGAAACTATAGAATAATATAATTGATTTCACATGCAAGCAAGATTCTACTGAAGATTATCCAAAAACGACTGAAATAGCACATCAGCTGAGAATTGCCAGAAGTCCAGGCTGGATTTAGAAGGGGTCGTGGTACTAGGGATATTGTAGCTAATGTTAGATGGATCTTAGCGGAAAACGGGGAATACCAAAAGAAGGTCTACCTGTGTTTCATTGATTATGCAAAGGCATTTGACTGTGTGGATCATAACAAACTGTGGCTGACTCAGAAGAATGGGAATCCAAGAACACTTGATCGTGCTAATGCAAAAGCTATACTTGGATCAAAAGACAGTCGTCAGAACAGAGCAGGGAAACACTACATGGTTCAAAATTGGGAAGGGTGTGCGCTAGGGATGTGTCCTATCTCCATACCTTTTCAACCTGTTTGCAGAACAGATTATCTGACAGGCTGGGTTCTAAGAGGAGAAGTGTGGCATCAGGATTGGTGGCAGATCTATTAGCAATCTGCGTTATGCAGATGACACAACCCTGCTTGCTGAAACTGAGGAGGACCTGAAATGCTTGCTGTAGAGGGTCAAGGACTGCAGCCTTCAATATGGATTGAGGCTCAATGTCAAGAAGACAAAGATTCTCACCACTGGACCAATTGGCAGCATCAAGATGGATGGTGAAGAGATTGAGATTGTTAACAGCATTAGTCTGCTTGGCTCCATGGTCAACACTCTTGGCACCAGTAGCCAGGAAATTTAAAAAAAAAAAAAGCCCCAAAACCAAAACATATTGTGATGGGAAAGTCTGCTGTTAGAGGCCTTTCAAAAGAATTGAAGAGAAATGGTGTCACTCTGTAGAAGAAGGTGTGTCTGATACAGGCTATGGTCTTTGCAATTGCTTGTTATGCATCAGAGAGTTGGACAATGACTAGGAAGGATAGAAGGAGAATTGATGCCTTTGAGCTGTGATGCCGGAGAAGAGAAAATAGATTCATCCTGGAGAGTGTTAAACCAGGCTGCTCCTTGGAGGCAAGGATTCTGGGGCTTCATCTGACGTACTTTGGACATGCTGTAAGGAGGGAAAGGTCCTTGGAGAGGGACATCATGCTGGGTAGAGGAGAGGGACAGCACAAGAGGGGAAGACTGTCTATGAGGTGGATTGATTCAGTGACTGAGGTAACCGGGACGGGTGTGTCAGAAGCAGTGCGACTGGCACAAGATAGAGCAAGGTTTAGGGCTGTTGTACATAGGGTTGCTATGAGTCGCAGGCGACTCGACAGCACATAACAACAACAACAACATTGTTATTTTGGTAACACTTTAGTAAAAGGAAAATATAGTCTCTGGAGATTGAACCTTTTTGAGGATGATTGGCCTAAACTAAATAAAAAGCATAGGGAGACTAAGAAAGGGGCCTGTTCACAAAGCCATGCTGTATGAGGACCTCTGCCTCAGCCTTCCCTCTTTTTCTGAACTCATTTCCCTGTGTCCCTGCTTTCTTTCTGCGTCCAGTTTGCAATAGCTATGCATCAGAAAACTGAACAATGACTAAGGATGACAAAAGAAAAATTGGTGTTTTTGAGCTGTGGTGTTGGAGAAGAGTCTTGAACACACCATGGACCACCAAGGGAACAAATAGTTCTGTCTTGGAGAGGGTGAAAAAAGTTTCTCCTTGGAGGCTAGGATTTTGAAGCTCCATCTCACATACTTCGGACACATGGCCAGGAGGGACTGGTCCTTAGAGAAGGACATCATGCTTGGAAGGGTGGAGGAACAGTGCATGAGGTTGATTGACATAGTAACTGGAGTAATGAAGGTAGGTATGTTGAAGTCAGTGAGACTGAACCAGGATAGGGCAGACTTCGAAGTTGTAACAACAATAAACAACTCAGGGCCTCCAGAATAAAAAGACTGATAAATCAATTACAAAATGAGCAAAAGATATGGAAAGAATTTTCTCAGAGTAAGACATTCAGGTAGACAACTGACACATGAAGAAATGCTTAAAATCACTGTCAATAAGAAAAATGCAAATCAAAACCACGTTGAGATACCATTTCATTCCAGGGGCAATGGCAAAGTTTAACAGGACAGCAAGCAGTTAATGTTGGAAAAGATGTGGAGAGATGGAGTTCTCATACACTGTTGGTAGGATTGTATAATTGCACATCTACTGTAGAAGGCATTTTGATGTTTCCTCAAAAAGCTGACCATAGAATATCTGTGTGACCCAGCTATTCTATTCCTAGAAATATACCCCAAGGAAATTAGAACTGAGACACAAGTGGATATTTATACACCAATGTATATAGCAGCATTATTCACAATCTCAGGAACATGGAAACAGCACAAATGTGAAACTATAACTTAATAGATTGAGAAATTGTGGTACATTCACATAATGGAATACTATGCAGTATTCAGGAACAATGATTTTTTTAAAAAAATATTACATAACTTGGAAGAAACTAGAAAGCATTATACTGAGTGAACTTCCTCAGTTTCACAAGGATAAATACTGCATAAGAACATTATTGTAAAAATAGAAGGATAACTAGTAAAATGTGTATGGGGATCCAAGAGGGGAAGGGGTGGGAGCAGAGGGGTGAGGATGGTTAGAAAGGAAATCACAGCGTTGTGCAATTTGGTGGGTTGAGGGAAGGGGAAAAGGAATTGGAAACGATCCTGCAGAGGCCTGAAAAGACAGTGTTATACTGAGCATAGTCCAATGGTGATTAATTTTGTAAATACAATGTATAGGAATGAATGCATAAAACAATGTCAATGAAGGAAAGCGTCTGTGTGGAAATCTGTTTAAAAAACTTATTTTAAAAATCAGCTCAACAACACTGAGTATGAAGTAACGTTTCATTGTAATTTTAATTTACATTTTCCTAATAATTAATGATGTCAAACATTTTTCATATGCTTATAAATAATTTTTTCATTGAAATGATAATTTATATTGAGTTACATTCCTTTTGAGTTCTAAGTGCTTCTTACATATTCTTGGTACAAATTATGTGTGTGTGTGTATGTATATATATATATATATATATATATATATATATATATATATATCTCTTAACTTATAGTGATCCTATGAACAAAAGAACTTTCTATAACTATCATCACTTATCAAACTTCATAGAGTTTCCAGAGACATGCTGTTTAGGAAGTGAATGCCAATCTTTCTGGAACCATATTGTCAAGAAGTTGTGCTGCAATCTTGAAGGCACGGGGTTTGAGGTGACCAGACGTTCCACAGAAGAAGGATGGGCAGTCTAGTCCTGTGCAATTAACTGCCTCTAAAACCCCCTGCAGTGTCAGCTGTGGAACACTTCCAACTCAATGATACAAAACAAGACCTTTTCACTCTTGTAATACTATCATTTGTAGCGTTTAATACAAAGTTTTAAATATTTAATGTATGCTACTCAGCAAACAGCATAAAAATTATTGAAAATATCTTACCCGAACTATTTCACAGTCAACATTTAATTCAGTTGCGACTGCTTCAATTTTCTCTCTACAAACAGAGCCCAAGCTGGTCATGCCATTGTCCCAGTACTTCTTAAGAGTGGCTAAATCTTGATCACTGAACTGAGTCCGATCTTGTAACTGTAAAAAAGATTTTTAATATTAGATTTATCAAAGGAAAATTATAAGAATAATGATTAGAGTGAGATGTGCTATTTTAGTTAAAAGAACATAATGGTAGTTAAAGTCAGCTGATAATTCTTACTGTTTCCCTATTCTCAAAATTAATATTTTGAGATATGTATTACCAAAACAGCCTCAAGTATGGAAACACAAAGGAGGAGGAACAGTTGTAAGCAGACCCTAGTGATTGGTACATGGAATGTGAGAGCCATGAATGAAGAAAAATTAGA